GCCTGACAGCTCTTGCCGTCTGTGCCTCATGTCCACACACATGATAACGAACCCCTCATGGGGCTGTTGGGATGACCAGGTGAGACGGCATCTGTCAGCTCTTACAGAGACGCAGGCGGACAGTGCGGCCCCGCAGCCCTCGCCGTTTGCTGCCCAGGCAGCGTGGGCGACTGCCACTTCTCCCGCATCCTGTGCTGTGGTTGACTTGTCCTTCTGCCTGCTGGGCTAAGAGCTTCATGAGTGGGGTCTGTCGTTTTCCTTCGCCGTCCTGAGTACCCAGCATTAGGATCTGATGAATGAAGATGCAAGTGTGTGTACCTTCCCCATGGAGAGCATTCCTGCGAGGATGTCTGGGATTGTCACCAACACCACGGCTAGGACTGCGGGGCAGTTCGGGTCAGGGAAGGGAGCGGTGGCTATGACCCTGCACCCTCCGGTGAAGCCGTGATGCCCCGCCCCGCCCTGCTCTGCGCTGCCGTCTGGGGACTGTGCTTTTGCTTTTGGACTCGGTGGGGTAAAGTCATGGAATTCCTCTCCCTCCACCCGTCCTGAGCTGGGAGCCCCTCCTCATGTGAGGGCTTCCTGTCTGGGGGAGTCCCTGCTCACCACTTCTAGAGGGACTCCCTGGCCCGTCTTTGCCGGATGCTGTCCCACCACCTCCCTGTTGAACCACTCCCCTCTCGGCACACACTGATCCTGCTCCTCCAAGATGCTGGAGCAGAGGCGAGTCAGCCGACGGGAGGGCATCCAGCGCAGGAGATAGATTGCTCAAGACCTGCCCCACCTGCAGGGACCATGGTGTGGCAGAGAGTAGCAGGGGCAATGGAGATGGGGAGCTGGAGCAGGACAGGAGGGCAGTGGGGGCTCAGGCAGTGGTTCCAGAACCGTCAAGTATGTAGCACTGGCTGGGCTAGAGAGGCAGTGGGGGCCAGAGGCAAAGGGCCTTCAATGCCAGGCCAGGAAGCCTGACTTCATCCCAGAGGCAGGGAAGGTTTTAAGCAAGGAATACCCTGGTCCTGCCCAGTGCCTTTCAAGGGACAAGGGAGGTTGGTACAGCATGCCTTCTGTCCCCAGGTATCCTGCGCCTGGGCTAGCGAGGCATGCTTTCCCCACCGGGGTTCCCTCAGTTGCTCCTGGGGTGCCCCTGAATCAGCTTCATGCCTGTGGGGGTGGTTGGTCAGCATGGCAGTCTTTGAGGCCCCTCGGTCCCCAGGCCGGGCTGGCACCAGTCAGTCCTCACAGGGAGGCTCCTGGAGGGGCTGTCTGGTGGGGTGTTGGATGCGCTGGCAGTGGGTAAGCCCTGGCCATCTTCCTGCTGTTCCAGGAATCAGCCTCCTCATCCCCCCAGACGCCATACCCCGAGGGAAGATCTACGAGATCTACCTCACGCTGCACAAGCCGGAAGACGTGAGGTGTGACCGCGGGCCCTGTTGCCCGGGGTGGGAGGGACCCACCTGCCGCCTTCGGTCCCCAGGAAGCCCCTTGCCCACCCACTGTTGTGCCTGGCCTGAGGCGACGGGGGGAGAGCTGCACGTAAGCCCCATCTGGTTCTGCAGCCCAAGCCCCTGGGCCCTGGGACGCTGCCGCCCTGCCCTTGGCCTAGCCCTCGGGACCCAGGATGGGCCACTGACACCTTTCCCTCCCACCCATATTCCCCCACTTGAGGTTGCCCCTAGCTGGCTGTCAGACCTTGCTGAGTCCCATCGTTAGCTGCGGACCCCCCGGCGTCCTGCTCACCCGGCCAGTCATCCTGGCTATGGACCACTGTGGGGAGCCCAGCCCCGACAGCTGGAGCCTGCGCCTCAAAAAGCAGTCGTGCGAGGGCAGCTGGGAGGTGAGCAGGGAACCGACCCGGGCTCCGGAAGGGAACGTGGGCTAACTGCACGCTCGGCCCAGCCCTCCACCGCTGGTTGGCCCTGAGCCGCACCCCCACCCCTCCCCAGTCTCCGGCCACTTCTTGAAGCCACAGCTGGCCCCAGGGCTCTGAAGCTGGGCAGAACTGACCCGCTGACCCCTGCCCGCAGGATGTGCTGCACCTGGGCGAGGAGGCGCCCTCCAACCTCTACTACTGCCAGCTGGAGGCCAGTGCCTGCTACGTCTTCACTGAGCAGCTGGGCCGCTTCGCCCTGGTGGGAGAGGCCCTCAGCGTGGCTGCCGCCAAGCGCCTCAAGCTGCTTCTGTTTGCCCCGGTGGCCTGCACCTCCCTCGAGTACAACATCCGGGTCTACTGCCTGCATGACACCCATGACGCACTCAAGGTATCGCCCGCCCCTCACCCCCGCCCCCTGCCGCTGGGAGGCCCAGCTATGCCTGGCCCTGTGGACTGATTGCCTGGGGCAGTGGGGAGGGGCCTCGGCTGACCACCTGGGGCCCTGCAGGAGGTGGTGCAGCTGGAGAAGCAGCTGGGGGGACAGCTGATCCAGGAGCCTCGGGTCCTGCACTTCAAGGACAGTTACCACAACCTGCGCCTGTCCATCCACGACGTGCCCAGCTCCCTGTGGCAGAGCAAGCTCCTCGTCAGCTACCAGGTGAGGGCCAGGGCCATGGCCAGCGCACAGAGGGCCTGGAGCTTGGGCTCACCTGACACCTCCTCTCTGCACCCCCATCAGGAGATCCCCTTTTATCACATCTGGAACGGCACGCAGCAGTACCTGCACTGCACCTTCACCCTGGAGCGCGTCAGCCCCAGCACTAGCGACCTGGCCTGCAAGCTGTGGGTGTGGCAGGTGGAGGGCGATGGGCAGAGCTTCAACATCAACTTCAACATCACCAAGGTGGACGGCAGGGGCTGCAGCACCGCCGTGACGTGCTCCCACTACCAACTCCCTACCAGCCCCCAAAACGCTCCTGCCCTGCCTGCCCAGCCACCCACTCTCCCTCCCACCTGTCCCCAGGCCCACCTCCTCCCAGAAAGCCCTTGGTAGCTTCCTCCCAGACTCAGAGAGAGGGAGGCGCAGGTGCAAATGGGACTTGGGGAGGGGAATGCAGGGGACATGAGAGCAGCAGGAGGGGAGACCCTGGAGGGCTTCCCTGAGGAGGGGCTTTGTACTGGGCCCCAAAGAATGAGCCATTTGGCTGCAGCATTAAGGGGAAGAGCATTTCTGGCAGTGAGAGCTGGGCAGGGAGGACTCAGGCCATGAAAAGAGCTGTGCGTGTTGAGTGTCAGCAGAGGCTGGGCAGGGTGACTTGGAGGGGAGAAGGGCGGAGAGGGAGGGAGGCCACAGAGGGCTCCTCTGCTCACTGGCTTTGTGGCTTTGGGCAGGTCACTGCACCTCTGAGCTCCAGTAAGCAGGGCCTTGGCACATGGGAGGCGCCCAGGATGTACCAGTGCTCATGCCGCCCCCATGCTCTGGGGGGTCTGGGAGCTCCCCCAGCAGGAGGTGGCAGTGGGCCCAGGCTTGGGGAAAGTTCTAACAGGCACCTCTGTCCCTCCCACCTCCAGGACACAAGGTTTGCTGAGTTGCTGGCTCTGGAGAGTGAAGGGGGGGTCCCAGCCCTGGTGGGCCCCAGTGCCTTCAAGATCCCCTTCCTCATTCGGCAGAAGATCATTTCCAGCCTGGACCCACCCTGTAACCGGGGTGCCGACTGGCGGACTCTGGCCCAGAAACTCCACCTGGACAGGTGGGTGGGAGAGGGGCAGAGAGGGCCTGCGCAGGCCACTGACAGTCCTGCCTAGGTGGGGGGTGGCGTGGACAGGAGGCCCTGTGGGGCCTGTGCCGTATCTACTAGTGGCCAGGGCACTCATTGTGTTTGGCTTGGGGGAGGCCCTGCTCTGGGGTGGGCCAGGGGGCCAGGAGGTGTCAGCTGGGGCCAGGCCAGGCTGCTCACGGCCCCTTCCCCTCCACAGCCATCTCAGCTTCTTTGCCTCCAAGCCCAGCCCCACAGCCATGATCCTCAACCTGTGGGAGGCGCGGCACTTCCCCAACGGCAACCTCAGCCAGCTGGCTGCAGCAGTAGCCGGACTGGGTCAGCCAGACGCTGGCCTCTTCACAGTGTCGGAGGCTGAGTGCTGAGGCCGGCCAGGCCCAACGCCTACACTCTCACCAGCTTTGGCACCCACCAAGGACAGGCAGAAGCCGGACAGGGGCCCTTCCCCACCCCGGGGAGAGCTGCTCGGACAGGCCCCCTCCCGGCCAAAGTTGTCCCTTAATGCTGGTCCTTCAGACCCTGCCCGAACTCCCACCTCTCCATGGCCTGCCTAGCCAGGCTGGCACTGCCACCTGCTCACACTCGGCCCCAGGGCCCAGGATGGACAGTGCCTGGAGCCTGAGCCAGGCCCAGCCCATCTGTGTGTGTGTGTATGTGCGTGTGATGCTACCTCTCCTCCCGTCCCTCTCCAGGGGCCCCGCATACACACGGCCATGCACGCACACACTGGGCCTGGGCCAGGACCCCGGAGCTCCTGCCTGAGCTGGACCTTATGCAAACATTTCTGTGCCTGCTGGGTAGGGGCACGTCTGAGGGGCCCTGCTCCAAGCCTGCAGGACCGAGGGCCACAGCCGGACAGGGGTTAGCCCCTGGATTCAGGCACATGACCACCACACGAGTACGTGCCACGCATGCCTCGTGTGCTCATCTCACACACACCCCCCTCCCGGGTCATGCAGACACCTCCCACCACACACATCTCATGCTGTACACCTGAGGCTGCTCACGTCTCACGCCCAGTGTCGGTGCATATTTGCCTCTCACGTGCTGCCCTCTCTCCACCCACCCAGGGACACCCCACGGCTCCTCCCTGCCCCTGCCCCTCCCCCAGCCTCGAGGTGCCCTGCCCGGCGGGGCCTGTGAATATGCAATGGGAGTCCCGGGCTGTACAGTGGCGAGTGTGTGTGGCGTGGTGTGCCCGTCCCCAGGGCTGGCTGGTGCCCCACGCGGGGCCTGTCATGTGAAGCTCGTGTCCTGACTTTGTCTTAAGTGCATTCACGCACTTACACTTGGCCTTATGTACACAGCCTTGCCCGGCCGCCGGGGCGCATAGGGATTTTATTGGACGTGAATGTAAATAAATTATATATATATATTGCTAACCGGAGTGCTACTTCTCTCGGGGAAAGCCAGGGAGAAAGGCCAAATGGCCACAGAGGGGTCACACATGGGATGTCCCGGGAATCCTGGGTGGCTGGGCCTGGCTGGGAAACAGGCAGACCCCGACGCAGGTCCAGCAAGGCTGCGGTGGAGCCTCCTCAGCCTGGAGATTTCCTCAGACACGAGTCAACTGTGCAAGCCGGCAGGCAACAGCGGTGACCAGGGCTGCACCTTTGCCGGACCCATCCTCTGACTGCAGGAACGTGACCACACAGCGAGGGGCCAGCTCCCGCACCGTGGCTGCCACCAGGCTGGAGAAGCTGTGAGGGGAGGACTGAGGTGAGCCCAGGCCACCAGCCCCACCTAGCCACACCTCCCTCCCCAGCCCGCACACCCAGACTCACTGCGGGTGCAGCTTGTAGAGCGTTCCATCCACCCCCACAGACACTGCCAGCTCTTCCAGGCCCCGGTTCTCCCGGATCTTCTCCACCACAGCAGCTACACCCGCCCCACAGAGCTGGGCAGCCCGCTGGGACACGGCCTGGCACACCTCTAGCACCATCAGGGCATCATCTGAGGTCAGGGGCAGCCCCAGATCCTCTAGGATGGCTCGGACCTGCCGCAGGGCCAGGCTGTCGCTGGGGGCCAGGAAGGAAGAGAGCACAGAGAGGCGGGTCATGACTTCTCCCACGTCATCCTCCAGAGCGGATCTCGCCACCACCCATGGCCAGCAATCCCCCACAGTGGACAGAAATACTCCCTGAAGTAGGGGAGGCAGTGTAGGCCTCAGGCACCTTTCGATCTCAGAGAGGAACTTGGTCTTGAAGATGTCCCTGGTCTGAAGGCGCTGGGTCTGCTGGCCCCGGAAGAGAACGCCAAGGCTGGTTAAATGTAAAAGGATGTGGCGGACGATCTCCCCCAGGTACATGCCGCTGATCATCTTTTCAAACCTGCACGAACGTGTGTGTGCTCACAGGGCAGAAGGCCCCCCCGGCCACAGTCCCCAGCACCGGTCACGACCAGCCACCACTGCCTGGGCCCAGCCCACACCTCTGCTTGCCGGGGTTGATGGACGCCTGGTCCACACTTGCATCAAAGCAGGTGCTGAGCATGGCCAGAGAGCCATCGTCCCCAAAGGCACCCCACTCCATGTTGATGCACATGCGGCCTGAGTCCCCAGGCACGCCCGCCACATTCCTGAGCTCCTCCATGTAGCAGGCATTGGTGCCGGTTCCTGCAGAGAGGCCAGATAACGTGGAAGCTACTTATTGATGCGGACAAGGACCCTCTGAGTACTTCCTATACCGAGATGGCAACATTCGGGCTCATTCTCTCTACCTCTCCGTCTCCTCATGCTCACAGCCTGTCCCTAGTCCTGGTCCTCCTTCCTCCCAGACATCCCTCGTGCAGACCCTGCCAGTTCCAAGCCCTGGGGACCTTCACTGCCTTTCCCACCAACATCACCATCAGTGCATCCACCATGCTACCCCCAAGTGCTCCTACAATGCCCAGCTGTCCTGTCATTCCCCTGGGAGACATGTCCCCCATCCTCGTCCCCAGCTCTCTGCGGTTGAGAGGCCGAAGCTCCCTGGACTGGCCTGCCAGGCCCTTATTCCAACTAAGAGGTGCTGGACCAGGAACAGGGGACACAGAGAAATCAGAGATGAGGAGCCCCACAGTCTGGCCAGAGGTCAGGCAACGAATAGCCAGCTCTGACGGAGCCTCTGTGTCCCTGTGAAAGCACCAAGGAGAGCATCGTGGGAGCCCAGACCACGGGGCAAGTCTCTGCCAACAGGGTCAGGAAAGCAACAGAGAGGAAGTGACCGAACCCAAGAAGCACAGAAAGGAAAAGGCATTCCGGGCAGAGGGCGCACCCTGAATGAGGGCGTCTCCCTCCTCTCCCTGACACAGCTTCAGCTCCAGGCAGGTGGGCTCCTTGCTGGCCCCACCTGGAGTTCCTCTGTCCCCCTGGTTATGCCCACAGCAACCTGGGCATGCCTCTCCTAAGTGCCTAACTGTGCGCTGCTGCCCACGTGTAGAATCGAGTCACTCTCTGACCACCGCGTGTTGTTCTGGGCTTAACCCTTGCTGAGTGGTCAGCTCTGAGAAGGCAGAAATTGCCTCTTGTTTTATGTGTCTTCCTGTTCCTCTGTCCAGTCCCCTGTGGACACAGGGCAGGAGCTCAGTAAGGACGGAATCTTGGACTGTCTGCGGGACCTTCACTGCTCATTGCTTCCCTGCCCCCGCCCAGCTCCAAACACCAGGTGTGTGCCGTGAGCCAGGGACCATGCTATATTTTGTCCCCTCCCATTTCATCCTCATGATGCCTTGAGACAGGCATTGTTATTCTTATCTCTGTCTTAGAGATGAGGAAACTGAGGCTCTGGTGACTTGCCCAAGGTCACACAGGTGGAAACACAAAGCTAGTATCTCCACCCAAATCTGTACAACTCCAAAGCTCAGATTCATTTATCAGATGGCAAACTGAAGTTCAGAGAGCTTAAATGACCATGAGTCAGTCACTGAGCTGGACTAAACACCCAAGCTCTAGACTGCCAGCCCGAGATTGTTCCAGAGCCCCACTGGGTCAGACCAGAGCAATCCTACATCCCCAACGCCAAGGAAACATCCAAGCGGAGGAATCCACAGAAGGCAGCAAATTGCCAAGCAGTAGGGGCATGAAAGGGCAGGGCCCTCCTCACCGACAATGAGGCCTATCTCGCAACGGGGGTCCTCATAGCCACAGGACATCATGGTCCCCACCGTGTCATTGACAATGGCAACCACATTCAGCTCCACTGCCTGCACACAAAAGGATGCTGCTAGTTGCTGGGCAACGCGGTCGTCACAGCAACCAGCACCGGACCCAGAGGTCTCTACCGCAGAGGGCTCCCCGCTCAGAAACCAGGAGACTCTTTGCTCCCCTCAAGGGCTGCCACAGCCCCAAAGCACCCCTAGAACAGGCTCCTACCTGTCTGCGCGCAATGGCTTCCCGCAACAGATTCACGACATCTTGGCCCTCACAGTCTGATGCATTAAAACCCTTGGTCCAGTTCAGGAGGATGCCCTGGGGTGAGAACAAGAGGAAGTGGCAGGAAGCTGGAGGCCCCTTCAGGCTCACTCTGCCTCCGCAAAGCCTGCATCCATCACAAGCCTAAGATTTGCACCCTCCCCAAGCACAATTCCTTGCCTACTTTGCTGTATCGTTGAAGGCCTTGCCCTCTGCCCGCTCCCTACTCCCCAGGAGGCTTTCGGTGTTCAAAAACCTATTAATAACCATCTAACCTACATTTTCCATTATTAGTTCCAGACGGTCAGAGGGTCTGGCCATTTTAAGACGTTTGCCCAGAAGGAATGGCCCTTTGTAATTGGGTTAGGAATGAACAGAGCTGGTAAAGTGAGTGCTGTGTGTGAAACAGGAGGACAGAGAAGGCTCAGAGGCCCAGATGACAGCAGATCCCACCCTTTCAGAAAGAACTCCAAGTTACTCGAGAGGAAGGAATTCTCAGCTTCAAGGATAGAGCTGTGTCAATGCGTGAGTCACTCGAGTGTTCCAAACACAAGGGGAGGAGGAATGGAAAAGTCAGAACCCAGGCCCTGGGCAGGATGAAGGCAGAGTTCCTGGATTGTGAGAAAAGGGACTTAGAACTTAGTGACACAGGGCTCGACGGTACCTGGAAAGGAGTGCTGTTTTCTGAGTGTGCGTCCTGTGAGGGAGGGGGCAGGGGGAGCAGGAAGTAGTCTACAGCTGTTGGGAGAAAATTACTGCTTTGCTCAGAGGAGGAGCACGGAGGGTAGGTCAGGAAATCCTTGGGGCAGAAGATTTTAGAAATAGTAACCAACATTTTCCTCCAATAATATGTCCTTTTATTCCTTTTTTTAAATTGTTATAAGCTCATTGTCTCAAACACAGAAAGCAGAGAATGTGATAGAATGAGAGAAAGAATGTTTGAGAGAAAGAAGCCGTTTGAGAGAGACCAGATGATGAGTAATAGCCCCTGTGTGGGCTGCTACCCTTAGAATGCAGAAGGGTAGGCAAAGGGGGACGTCAGAGCCAGGTTGCTGATGGCTTCCTGAGACAGGTGTCCTATGCCCTCCCTGCTGGGCTGAACTCCTGTTCAGAAGGGATCTGAGAAATCTGAGAACAGAAGAGGCCCCTGCCCTCCTTCCCCAGGTAATGCCCAGGAAGGTGTCGAGACTCAAGAGAGAAAGTGGCAGAGGGAAGTGCCCAGAGAGCAGGGCCCGGGGCACCTCCCTGTGTCCCTACATCCCTGCAAATTCTGCACAGCAGAGGCTGCTGCAGAGCCAAGGGGGCTCCTGGGGAAGGCAATCCCCACACTGGTTAAGTTTTCACCCCTGAGAAGAATGTGGGCCCAACATTTGTTTTTATTTTAGACGGAGTCTTGCTCTGTCGCCCAGGCTGGAGTGCAATGGCACAATCTCGGCTCACTGCAACCTCTGCCACCCGGGTTGAAGTGATTCTCCTGCCCCAGCCTCCCAAGTAGCTGGAATTACAGGCGCTCACTGCCACACCCAGCTAATTTTTGTATTTTTAGTAGAGATGGCGTTTCAGCATCTTGGCCAAGCTGGTCTTGAACTCCTGACCTCATGATCCACACGTCTCAGCCTCCCAAAGTGCTGGAGACCTGAGCCACCACGCCCGGCCTTCAGCACAGAAATTAAGTTCATTTACAGAAAATTAATAAGACTATATTTCTTGCCCCCACCCCCACCCCCAATTTGCACATGGAGCCTCACCTGCTTCTCACATCTTACAAGGAATAATCAAAAGGACTGAGCAGGCTTAGCCTGGAGCAGAGCAGCCAAGCAGCAAGACTGGCCCACTGCACCATCCAGAGGATCACCGTGTAAAACAAAGCAGAGTACAGAGTTGCACAGCAGGTGCAGCGCAGCGGCTCACGGCTGTAATCCCAACACTTTGGGAGGCTGAGGTGAGCAGATCACCTGAGGTCAAGATTTCTAGATCAGCCTGGCCAACATGGTGAAACCCCGTCTCTACTAAAAATTAGCCGGGCATGTTGGCATGTGCCTGTAGTCCCAGCTACTTGGGAGGCTGAGGCAGGAGGATCGCTTGAACGCAGGAGGTGGAAGCTGCAGTGAGTGAGCCAAGATCATGCCATTGCACTCCAACCTGGGTGACAGAGCGATTTCTTGCATATCAGAGAGAGGTCAGAGCAGGAGTAGGGGGTGAAAATCACATGGAGGCTGGTTGGAGTAGGTGAGATGAAGCTTTTCATTGAACACAGGTGTCTAAGAATGCAACTGTTGCCTTCAGGGGCAGTGAGCTCCTCGGCAAGAGGCTTTCAAGCAGAAGCTGGGCATGTTGAGAGGAAGATTCCAGAGTTTGGACCAGAGGCCCGGGAGGTATTGTTTCTGTGACAGGCTTCAGGTGTGCACATTGAGAAGTCCTTCATCCTTGTGTAAGGACAAGCTAAAGTGTGTGCTGAGTAGGGATGTGTGTCTCGGCCTGTGCCTGGCCCTCTGCCACCCTAGTCATGCACCCACCACTGAGCCAGGCACTGAGAAGGAAACAAACGAAGAAAGGAGGAGGAGAGAGGCCAAAAAAACCCCAAGCAACCTCAAGCCCCTGCTAGAGACAGGAACAAACGCTGGTTCCCGCAGGACCCTGAGGCCCACACGCCAGTGCTATAGCTAGAATGGATGCTCTGTCCTCTGATCAACCCCAGTCTAGGCCTGACCTGCTCCCAAATGCTTCAGACCCTGACCCTGGGCCTACCCTGTCTGGGGAAACTGAGGCTGTGTGCAAGGCCAGCCCAGCAGTGCTGCCACCACCACCAACCCCAGCCCCCACCACCACCCAGCCTTTTCCCCTGCCCCCTGCCCACTCCATGAAGGGTATGTGGGCAGGAGGCCCTTGGGAATCACTTCTCTTGGCCCTCCCTCACCTGGTCCAGGCCAAGCTGCCTACATGGGAAGGAGAAGGTAAAACCCAGTGGGAGGCTCTGCCCACTCAGGCCCTGCTTCTGCTGGAAGTCCACGATGCAGTCCACAATGTGGTCAAAGAGCTGTGGGCAGGACAGGTCAGGCGTAGGCACTGCTCAGCCCTTCCCCACCTCCGACACCAAGGTTCAGGCTGTGGGTACCTGCTGCCCAGAGCCCTGGGCCACACTCTCAGGAATGGAGTAGATCTGGCTGGTGATCTGCACACCTGTGGTCACACGTACCAGGAGGACACGGAAGTTCGTGCCCCCGAGGTCCAGGGCCAGGAAATCCCCTCGCTCTGTGGGGCAGAGACCCTCAGTGCCAGGATAGTGCTTGTGGCTCCAGCCCTAGCCCACACTGTGACCCCATGTTTCGGTCCCACACTCAGGCCAAGTCCTTACCGCTGCCGTCAGGCGTGGCCCGGACAAAAGTGGGCAGCATGCGAAGGGAGGAGGCCTCCCCTCGGAGCCCCTTGACCATGGCCTTCCGCATCTGTGCCTGAACCGCTGCCAGCTGATCGTGGTTTAACCGGAACGGGGCCAGGGTCTCCTCCAGCAGGCGCCGGTGGGCAGCCAGACGGGCAGCCACGGCAGTCACCATCGCCACTCCCCGGCCACCACCATCCGCAGAGGGGATGAAGGAGACATCGCATTCCGGGGCCAGGAGCATCACTGTCCCCTGCAGGATGCCGCAGAACCTATGGATACACACAGGTGCGCCCGGCTTGGCCCCAGACCCCCAGACACACCCAGGTGCGCCTGGCTTGGCCCTGGACCCCCAGACACATACAGGTGTGCCCAGCTTGGCCCCGGACCCCTCGGGCCTCCTGAAGCCCAAGGCCCCATCACTTTTTTCTTTTTTAAATTTTTCTAGATACCGAGTCTCACTCTGTCACCCAAGCTAGAGTGCCATGGAGTGATCATGGCTTACTGCAACCTCAAACTCCCAGGCCCAAATGATCCTCCCACCTCAGCCTCCCAAAGTGTTGGGATTACAGGCGTGCACCACCATACCCAGCCTCCCCTATCACTTCAATTCTAAATCTGTTCTGTGCACCAACCATAAGCCCTAATGTCCCCATGGCCTCTACCCTTGCACACACAAAGGGAAGCATTGTTTCTCTCCTTGGATGTCTTCTGGCCTCCCATAGCTCAGTCTGGCCCTCCCTCTGCCTAAGTGCCCTTCATGTCCACTGGCTTGCAGATGTGATCCCAGAGGACCCTCTGGGTGTGTATCACACACACGTGCTCATGCCACATAATCATGAGGATCATGTTTCCACAATACCTGGGGTGCCGCTCACACACTCGGCCTCCGGTGGCCACAGCGACCTGGAGTGTTTGTTGCTCCCGGCCGTGCTGGAGGTGGGAGAGAACGGCGGCCAGGGCGGCAGCACAGAGCTGGGCAGCCCGTGTGCATACCGCCGCACACACGTGCTGCACAAGCTCAACATCCGAAGCCCCAGGGCTCAGGCCCAAGTCCTGCAGGATAGCACGGACACGGGCTGCCCCAGCAGAGGGGCTGGGGAGGAGAGAAGTGGTTTGGAGCTCAGCCCAGAAGCTCCCCATCCCACTAAAGCCCTATGGCTACCTTGGGGACAGAGTATCCTCCCCTTACCCCAAGCCAAGAATCCCCCAGTAAGCCACCATCTCCCCCACTCACTCCTCCATCTCAGCCACGTGTTCCAGGAGGATGCTGCCTCGACTCAGCAGGGCAGGGGAGGTGCTGCCACCAAAGAGGACCCCACGCTGGGCCAAGTGAGCCAGCACCAGCCGCACCAACTCACCCAGATACAGGCCTCCAATCATCTTCTCAAACCTGAAGGTGGAAAGGGTGGCTGGACAAAGCCTTTTCTAAGCCCTCAGTCCACCTCGTCCTACCTCCAAGCATTCCCAAAGAAGGATTCTTTTCTTTGGGGCTCCCAAATTGGAGACTCCAGAAGCAACGAATGACCTCCCAGAGGACAGGTGGGTGTACGCCTAGACCCCATCGCCCCCTCTGGCATAGGTTACATTCCGAAGCCTTGGGTAGAGGAAGAAGGCGGCAGAGAGCACTTTGCTCCGCCACTTCCAGCCCTCAACCCCCAACCTGTCAGGGCAGCGCAGAGTTAGGAATCGGGAGGACCAAGGGTTGACAATTCTGGGTTCTAGAACTTTGGGCCCTTCCTTCTTTGAACCTGGCCAGGGCCCCAGGTTGCTCCCTGGAGACCCTCAGAGTGACAGGGAGGGGCCTAAGGGCCTGAGAACAGGAACAGAAGGGGTTGGGAGCAGAGCATAGATAGGGCCTGGAACCAAAGGTCAGGGCCCCCCACCAGGGCACCTCTGAGCACCAGGATTCAGGGACTCATGGTCCAGGGTGTGGTCGAAGGTGGTCAGCACTGGCCCCAGCGCCCCAACATCACTGAAGGAGCCCCACTCGACGCTGACACAGACGCGGCCCCGGTCTTCATCCAGCACTGCCACGTGCCGCGCCTCCTCCATGTAACATGCATTGGTGCCCGTGTCTGGCAGAGACGAACCTGTCAGGACCTGCTCGCCAGGCAGCACACCCTCCACCCGTCATCACAAATGGTCTGTGGCTCACCTACAACTAGCCCAACCTCACACGGCCTGGCTCCCAGCTCACAGCCCATCATGGTGCCCACTGTGTCGTTCACCACGGCAACCACGTCGATGTTGTAGGCCTGGATGATGGAGAGGGCAGAGGTCAAGGCTGGCCTGAGTGGTCAGAGCAGGGAATCCAAGGGATGGGCAGGGCTGGGGCCCTGGCTTTGGAAGAGACACATAGAGTCCAGGAAACACATGTCTGCACGCCACACACATTTGTGCCACAGACGCTCTGGGCTTCCATTTTATAGGAGCTTTTCCTCTAATCTCACCCTCAGCTCCTCCCTAACCCCCAACTCGGGCCCCCAGGTCACAGTGACATCTACCCTCAGCATCTCCCAGGACCAGGATGAGTTTCCTGAGACTGAGCACCTCCTTGAACACTGCGCCTTCCCAGCCTCACTGTCATTCTGCCTGGCTCCCCAAGCCCGTTCCTCCCAGCACTGGCTTCTCGCCACAGAGGGTTAGTCCAGACGAACCAGCCTTTCTCCAGCATCCAGACTCTCGTGTGTGGCCTTCTCTGAGACTAGATCTTCTGCCCCAGTCCCAGCCTGACTTGAAGGAGGCAAACTCTTCCTTCAAGTCCCTGATCGAACAGCCGGTGCTTCCTCTGTAGTACTCCCAGAGTTGTCCACGCACTACTCCTTGACGCGGACAATCTTTTATTAGAATGTGTCCCCCTCTAGACTGTGAAAACCTTGAGGAGGAGGTCAAAGTCTGTTCATGTTTGTTTGTCCCGGGCCCTGAACATTTATTTGACCTTTCTTAGCCTCAGTGTTTTTTAACCTATACAATGGGAATGGGAGCAACATGTACCTGAGGTTAAACTGGATGGAGGACATGAAGAGAAAAGGAAAGCAGCTCTCCAGAAGCCCAGGCCCCACACATGTGTGCCAGGCCCAGGCCAGCATGGGCATCTCTCCTGTCACCCCTCCCTCCACTCACCCCATGCCTCTGAATGGCGTCTCTCAGCAGCTGGACCACATCCTGCCCTTCCACACCACTGCACCTAAAACCTTTGGTCCAGGAAATGAGGGTGCTCTGGAGGTAGAGAAGCTGAGTTACTCCTCTGATGGCCTTCATGGGGCTGCAGCCACCCTCCACCCAGCGTCCCATGTCCACTCCACCTCACCCTGTCCAGGCCCGTCTGGTGACAAGGGAAAGAGAAGCTGAAGCCAAGTTGCAGACCCTGTTTGCTCACAGGCTGCGCGTCCAGGAACTCAGACAGGCAGTGGGCAGCAAAGTCAAAGAGCTGCAGGAGAGGTGGGGGCTCAGCCTTGCCCATCTGAGCCCCAGCTGCCCAGCCAGGCCCCCAGACCCCAGACGCTGGGCAGAGAGTGCTTACCTGCTGGCCAGCACCCAGCATCACCTCTTGGGGGATCACAAACTCCTGGCTTCTGGGCTCCACCCTATGCCCCTCAATGCCAGTTAGAGTCACCCACAAAACACGCAGTGAGGCCCCTGTGGCCCCCAGCTCCAGCACCATGAAGTCTCCTTGCTCTAGAGGGCAAGCAAGTCACAGAAAGGCATGCAGCTGGCACGACCAGAGCCCTCTGCCCACTTCCCAAATTCCTAAGGCCTGCAAAGTCTGGTCAAGGAGCCATAGAGATGGGGGACAGTAATAAGGAACATTTCCCTCCCCTAGATCAGTACCCTCTTCCAGGCCTGGCCACGCATCTCAGTCTATGCTACCCACCAGTGCCATGTGGGGTGGAGCCCACGTATGTAGGCAGCATCCGGACCGCAGGGGCAGGGCTGGCCTGTCCCCTCAGCGCCTGCTCCATGGAACCCAAGAGGCTGGCTTGGATCTGCTGTAGCTGTGCCCTTGTCACCTTGAACTGCTGCAGGCACTCCTGCACCTGGGGAGAAACAGGCCAGCATCTGGGAAGGAGCACTGCTGGGCTAGCCAGACTCCCCAACTCCAACCAAGGCAGAGGCCTGCCCTGCTCAGCCCAGCCCGCTTCTCGGCTCTTCATACACCCTGGCTCTCTTGCCAACAGCCTGCACCCAGCTCTGGCCTCCTCAGAAGGCTCTGTCCTGGAAAGACAACCCACCTTCTTCCTCCTCCTGCCCCATTACCTCACGGCTCCTTCTCAACTCCCTGCATCCTCTACCCTACCCCCTTCTTCTTTGAATTCAGGGTTTGGCAAGACCTTCTTCCTGTCATACCGCAGATGATTGCTCTCTGGCTCCCCAGGACCCACAGCAAGAGTCTCTCAGTGAGTTGTTGTTGAACGAACAAGAGAATAAACAAATGCACGAACGAACTTCAAGTGTTTCCCTCTCCTAACCCACTCTCAGACTCTGAAGCCTGAAAAGGCCCAGCACGAAAGCATTTGGAGAGCACAATGCAGAGGATGGTCCTTTTTTCCTTCGGTCATCCTTCCTGAAACATTGCTCTAGCCCTCACCACGCACCCAGCTCTAATCTAAGCACTGCACACACATAACCACCCAAGAAGCAACAAATGCTTTAGATTCCAGGGTGGGAGATAGAAATTAAGCATATAAACATACAATTTGGTTCCAGTAGTGACGGTGGCTATTAAAGGTGGGGTGCAGGATAAGAAATTAGAGAGTGACCAGGGTAGAAAGAGGTATTTTTAGATATGAGTCCAAGAAGGTTTCCCAGAGGAGGTGACCTAAATGAAGGAAGGGAATAAATAAGCCATTTGAAGATCCAGGGGAAGAGCGAGGGGATGGATTTGGGGAAGACTGATGTGGGGGTGGATCAGAGTCTGAAGGGGCAGGTGAGAAAGCAAGGAAGGCAGAAGCCGGGACACCGCAGGCTCTCACTCCACCAGAAGCCCAGTAGCTTAAGAGCCCCAGGGACCTCATTCCTGTGAGCAAAACCCTCCCCTAGATGACTCTCACCCATCCTTCAAAGAAGCCCCGACAGCCTCCCTGGATTCACTGAAGGGTCACAGCCCAGCAACTCCATCCTCCTCCTCTTCAGGCTCAGGCTTTCCAAAGCCCCCACTTCCTGTCACACGGGAGTTCTATTTCAATGACCTATTGCCCCAAGCTGGACCCTTATCTGTGAAATAACAACTCAGGCACCTGCATAATAAGGCCCCTCCAGGGAGGGGAGGCTGGGAGGAGAGGCTGCCGTTTGAGGGAGATAAGGACAGCTCAGTCCCACCTCTTGCTTTAGGAAGAGAATGGGAAATAGATCCCTAAGGAGGCAAATCATCCTAACTGGGGTGCCAGATGTCCACTTACACGTTCACCTTACAGCACATGCTTCCAACAGCCATGCGTGCTAGGGGTGCCCATGCCCACTCTACCTCACCCTGACCAGGCCAGTCTGGTGACAAGGGAAAGAGAAGCTGAAGCGAAGCTACAGACCCTGTTTGCTCACAGGCTGTGCATCCAGGAACTCAGGCAGTGGGCAGCAAAGTCAAAGAGCTGCAGGACAGGCGGGGTCTCAGCCTTGCCCCTCTGAGCCCCAGCACCCAAGTGTTAGAAACATGGAAACGGAGGCTCCAAGAGGGCCAGTCAGCTGCCTGGCCCAGCAGCTGTGAAGAGGCAGGGGAGAATCTGAATCCGTATCTGTCTGACTGCAGAGATGTTTCCACGTCAACGTGAAGCTTTATGAAACCTAGAAAGTTCCCTTGAAAAGAACCCAAGGCCGATGGAAGTTGCTGGAAAGAAACCCCAGACGATCTGGCTTGAGAAAACTTACACCTGGGTCCTCGCACTCCCTTTTTCTGGCTCTGTGGTCCTGGGAAAGTCCCACTCTCTCTGAGCCTCCGTCACCTCTTCGTGCAAAACTGAGAAAATAATAGTACTTGGAAGTCCCCCAATGCCAGGGACTATGTCTTGCTCAAGGCTACATCTCAGGGCCACGAGGAGCACCAGCTGGGAGCAGGATTTGTTGACTGGATGGTTGTGGTGGCATGAGAATTAAAGGCTGTAATGTATGTGGAAGTGCCAAGTGCTGCTGGGATGGGAGGGGCGTTTTAGTATTGCTTCATGGAAACAATAGAGTCATGGAGAAGTCAATGGCTTGGGCAAATTGTTTTTCTTCCTTTTCCTCTTGGGCACATTGAGATGTTCAGGAGGAGAGACTAGAAGACAGCAGAACTGCAAGAAAGACAGCAGGACTTCCTTGGCAGATCCCAGTGAGGCACACACAAGCCAAGAGAAGGTATTGGAGCCACCTCCGACACCCCAGGAAGAGCGGGGAGAGACCTCTGCCAGAAGAGCAAGGAGAAAGGCAGTAGAGAGCGTGTAAAGTCCAGTGTGGTTTCAACTCTGGCTCTTGTCACCAACTTGCTGTGTTGCTGGCCTGGGCCCATCACCTCACCTCTCTGAGCAAGTGACCCCTCTATCTAACAGGAACAATAGTACCCACTTCTCAGGGGTGCCACGAGGACGGAGAAGACAGAAAACCTGAAGTGGAGGAACAGCGCCACACGTAGGAGATGCTCAGCGAAGCACAGGCTCCCTGTCCTCAGAGCACAAAGCACACCTGGCCTGGAGAGCCTGACTCCATACCTCTCTGATGACAAAGAGAAGCCTAGGGGAAGGGGTCGGGAAGGGCCTCTGAGATGGGGCTGGGAACTGACCACACGTGGTTAACTAACCTTTTTTCAACCTCAGGTCATAGCAAGGGGAGCACAGGGTAAGGCTATGGTGCTGAGTTGGGAGTCCAGGACCATGGGAAATTTGGTGTCCCTGTGAAGTCTCCCAAAGCCGAAGGGAATTCTTTCAACCGCAGGTGTATGTGATGGAGCCAGCAGGGCAAACGTGGGCCTGCACAGGAGTGTCAGCAGGGAGGGGCGAGAAGTGAGGGAGGAGATGACAGCAGGCCCTAGAGCCAGTCCTGGCTGAGCAGGCACTGGGGCCCAGCCACTGCTCTCATTCCTGAGGCACGGCTGTGGGTTGGGCGCAGAAGAACTGTCTGCAGCAGGGTCTGGGGCACTGGTTGGACAAGGGGGAAGTGGGAGCATGAAATGAAGCGAGGGGTAACACCCCCACAATCTGGGCAACAAGCCTAGTCAAGTGGATGTCAGAACATGCCAGAAAACTAAAGAAACCACAGAGAATGACTCAAGAACCCTTTAGTGGGCACCTCCTCTATGCAAGTCCTGTTTATTTATTTATTTATTTATTTACTTATTTATTCATTCATTCATTCATTTTTAGACAGAATCTTGCTCTATTGCCCAGGCTGGAGTGCAGTGGCACAATCCTGGCTCACTGCAAGCTCCGCCTCCTGGGTTCACACCATTCTCCTGCCTCAGCCTCCCAAGTAGCTGGGACTACAGGCACCCGCCACCACACCCAGCTAATTTTTTGTATTTTTTAGTAGAGATGGGGTTTCACCGTGTTAGCCAGGATGGTCTCGATCTCCTGACCTTGTGATCTGCCTGCCTCGGCCTCCCAAAATGCTGGGATTACAGTCGTGAGCCACCGAGCCTGGCCTTTTTTTTTTTTTTTTTTAGATGGAGTTTTGCTCTTGTTGACCAGGCTGGAGTGCAGTACCACAATCTCAGCTCACTGCAACCTCTGCCTCCCAGGTTCAAGCGATTTTCCTGCCTCAGCCTCCTGAGTAGCTGGGATTACAAGCATGCACCACTATGCCTAGCTAATTTTGAATTTTTAGTAGAGACGGGGTTTCACCATGTTGACCAGACTGGTCTTGAACTCTTGAACCTCAGGTGATCCACTCGCCTTGGCCTCCCAAAGTGCTGAGATTACAGGCGTGAGCCACCGTGTGCAGCCATAGGCAAGTCCTTTATCTCCATTAGCCTTCGGGGGTGGGGAGTATTAGATTTTATTTTCCTCCATTTTCCCGATGAGGAAACAGAGACTAAGAGATAAGAAATGGCTTACAAAAGAGTTTCCTGCTCAAGGGTGTGGTATGAGACAACTTCTAAATCTTGGTCAAGATGACAGAAAAAGGAGAAACTCACTTCTGAGCAAGCCTCAGGCATGAGTTTGGCACTAAAATCATCTGTGTGCCTGATTATAGTGGCTAGTTGAGGGAAACATGCAAGAGGAACTGGAGAGGCGGGAAAGGTCTCAAGAACACAGCTTTTGACCAGATAATCCTGGGAAGGTCCACTCTAGACTGTGTCAACCCACTTGGGGGGGGAGCAGCACCTGTGTGGCAAGGTGGCAAAAGTGATATGTTTGGAGTTGAAACACCTCAGCTCGAGCTCCTGTCATGTCTTAAACTCAAGTCATATCACTTCTCTATGTCCCTTTTCATCACCTGTAAGATGATCATCCCAACCTTGCAGTTGTTTTGGAGCCTGAAAAGAGATCGTTACCAGCTCAGATATGAAAAGCTTGGTGGAAAGGGGCTGCATGGGTGAGAGCCCAGGGCCCCATGGCAGCTTCAGTCACGCAGCTCTTGATGGCCTTGAACAAGCATGAAACAGGAACCCAGTGCTGAACTTACCAGCTCTGAGCTGTCTGAGGGCCCGGGCAAGCCCTCCTCAGGGTAACTCAGGGCTTCTTCCCCCTGCCGCAACCCTGCTGATCCAACGGAGTCCATGAGCTTCCACAGTGGAGGCTGGCCACCTACAGTAGAAAAGGGATAACCTGGGTCAACCATTTACTCTACAGGCCCTAGGAGTCTGTAACCCAGACCAACTTCCTTCCTTCTGAAGGGGACCAGGAAGGAAGCTGGGAGCAGAATCCAGAACCTGCGACCATCAAAGATCCTGTAGCAGTCAACCAGAAGGCCCTTGTTTTTCACAAGCATGTGAAACGAGAGAACACTGGAAAGGCTGATTTCAGTCCAAACGCTGTTCATTAATTCTGTCATTCATTGACATTCACCAGTTCCTGATGCCTGCTATGCTGGACGTTGCGGTACAGATGAAGCAGACCTAGGCCCTGCCCTCAGGGACCTCAGTCTCATCAACAATCACAGTATGATTAGCACAGGCAGTGGGTGAGATGGCCACATGTAATAGATGGACATGCTGCTGTGGTTGGGAGGTCAGGGACATGCTAGAGGCTTGGAACGAAGAAGGGAGCAAAGACCTGCCAGAGAGGCAGGCAGGCTGGACTAGGGACAGCCGTTGTGCCAGGCTAAGGCGTGTGAATTTCCTCCTGAAGGCAACAGGGGTCATGGACAGGGGTGAATCTGTGGTTCAGAAAGGGGTTCCACTAGTGACGTGACCTTGGGCAAGTCATTTATGACTTCTTTGAATTTCAGCTTCCATCCGTAAAACAGGAGGAAATAGTATCTACCCTCACAAGGTTGTTGTGAGCGCTAAATAGAGTTAACACCTGGGGAAATGCTTTATGAGATGTGATGTGCAACATAAACCAGGGGGGTTTTAACAGTGCAGTAATGCAGAGCAGAAAGAGCCCTGTGCTCAGAGGTGGGGATCCTGCTCTCCACAAGGCAGCTTCGCCGCATCTCTCAACCGTGAGGCTTTTCATCTGTGAAATGGGACCAACATGTATTAAAGGGCTGTGTGGGGCACATGAGATCATGAGAGCAAAGAACTTGCTCAGATGTGCATTCAGATTTATGTAGCTGAATCTTAACTGAAACTCTGTGAGTCTCCATTTCCTCTTCTAACATGGAAAGCTAAGTTCTTGGGAGGATTAAAGGAGTGAGTGGTCCTTTGCACACTGTAAAGAACTGTAGAAATGTCATACATCGCTCATCCGAGCTGGAGGTGGTGTTGCTGTTCCCGTAGTCCCAAGGGAGCCTTCAGTGAGTCAGGTGCTCTTTAGGGGTGGGGAAAAGGGAAACACAGCAGAGGGTCCAGTATGGGAAGAGACATCTGTCCACTGAGTCACTTTACCTCTCTTCCCTGCAACAGCAGAACTTCTGGAAACACAGTACCTTCCCACCCCTGCACTCTCCTCCTCGCCTACTCCCATTACACTCACTAATTTGCCCTCTCCACATGGTCACTCGTGACCTCCTAACTGCCCAATCCCAAGCCTTTTCCTCAGCACCCCCCTTTACTGCCCTCTTTCACATGCAAAGCCACCAGTCATTCTCTTTGCTACAGAATTCTTCCTGCCCTTAGCTTTCACAGCCAGTCTCTCCTAGGTCTCCTTCCTGAGTCTCTCGTAGTCTTCATCAGTAATTTCTCTTCCTTCAGACAATGGGGTTCCCAAGTTTCTGGTCGTGCCCTCCCCCCACACTCCCTTTATCTCACCCATCCCCAAGGTTTCATTAATAGCTGTTTCAGGGCTCCCAAATCTACCTTTGGCCTCAGCCAAATCCTAAGTCCCAATGGTCTGTGAGACATCACTATCTGGATGGTGGAGAAGCTCCTCAAATTCAACAAAGCCATACTCATTTTTCCATCACCTTTCCCCCACAAAGCTCTTCTGTTCTCCACCTTGACTGGAGACATCGAAGTGTGCTCACTCACACGGCCATTTGGGTTGCCTGCATGCATCCCTGACCCTCACCTCCTCTATGTAATTGGATCTCAGGCTCTCTAAGAGCTCTCCTGGGCATCCCCTCCTCCCCATTCCCACAGCCACTGCACCAGACCATCCTCCTGCCTGATTATTACAACGGCCTCCTGATACCTCTGCTTCTAGTTTCTTCACCTCTTTACCTCACCCAACTTGACCACCTCTGCACTCATGGCTGGCATGGGGTCTGGTATAGGTATGTGCTAATGTGCCTTTCTAAAATTGGAAGGAAGGGGAGTGGGTAGTTTTTTCTTATTTAATAAAGCAACAAATCAGCTTCTGATAAATCTCCCCGAAACCTTACATGCCTATGCTGAGTTTCCGAATCTGCCAAATAGGGGTGTGGAATGCTTGTTCTATGCTACAGGTCTATTTCAAGGATAAAATGAGGTAACTGGGGCAATTACCTTTGAAAAGGACCAAGGGCTACACACGTGGCCTCCTTTCAAGGCCCAGCTAGTTCATTTATTCATTCACTCACTCATTCATTCCCTCATCCATTCGATATTTATTCAGCATTTTTACATGACAAAACCTGTGACGTAATCCCCAAGTAGCCCTAATATTTATATGCTAGGTAAGGGTATTCAGCTCTGTCTCTTCCATCTGAGATTCCCTGTAGGGAGGGTCAAGTCTCCTTCACTGCAGTATCCACAGAGCCCAGGGTCTGTTTGACTAAGGGCCCTTTGGCTTCCCTTAGCTGAATGGGCTATGTGAAGTGAGTTTTCCTCCTGAAAAGTACCCCAGGGACCTCTGCTGATGTTGGGAGCTGCCATCAAGAACCAGCTGGCAGGTTGGGTGTGGTGGCTTGCACCTGTAATCCCAGCACTTCGGGAGGCTTAGGCGGGCAGATTGCTTGAGCCCAGGAATTTGAGACTAGCCTGGGCAACATGGCAAAATGTCATCGCTACAAAAAAAAAATAACAAAATTTAGCTGGGTGTGGTCATGTGTGCCTGTAGTCTCAGGTACTCCAGAGGCTGAGGTGGGAGGATCACTTGAGCCCAGGAGATTGAGGCTGCAGTGAGCCGATTGTGCCACTGCACTCCAGTCTGGGTGACAGAGAGAGAGAACCCGTCTCAAAAACAAAGCAAGAGAACCAGCTGGCTTAATCTTTCCAGTGTCCACTTCCCCTGGCGTGCGCCAAACAGGAGGGATGAGGACAAGACGGTGCGGAAGGAGCAGGCAGTAATCAGACCGAGGCACTTACCTGGGACACACAGAAGCTGGCCACTCTCCTCAGGTCTGAGCTCTTGTCTGGCAATATGAGGCAACCCAATGACCAAAAGTGACATTCAGGGGTGACCTGAGTTATAATATCCTCAAGCCCCACCCTTTTCCTCCACCACCGCTTACCAAACATCAGCTAATTCAGGAAGCTGCACTTCCTTCCAGGCCTGCCCTAAGAGTAGCCCAGGCTAGGCAAGGCTGTGGTGAAAACTTGAGCAAGATGATCACCGCAAAGTGGAGCCTTGAACTGGGTCTAAGGTTTTGGGCCATTCCCTCTACAATGCTGAGGGCTATTTATTTTGCAAATAAAATGAGTTTTGAGGTGGTGGCTCGCCCCTGGAAGGAGCTGGGCCTGGGAAGGTTATGGTAAGTACTTTTGAGCAAGAGGCAATGTGGGAGCACAAGAGGAAGGGGCTGACTCTGCAGAAAGTGGGCAGGGCTAGCTGAAGAAGCTGAGCCTTGAAGAAAGAACAGTATGCTGACAAAAGTGGTCCTTGACCAAGTGGAGAGCACGTACACAACCATAAATCACACACACATACAGGTGCCTTCATGGAATGAAGTGCAGCTCCAGGCGCCTGAAGAGGATACACCGAAGCGGGAATATATGGTGGGAGAGGAGGTGACAGGCAGACTGCAGAGTCTAGACTTTAGTCTGTAGGCTGAGCAGGGAGAGTAGCTTCACACGGTAGGTCTTCTTTACTGGAAGGAGAAGGGGAGTGTTAGGCTGCTGTGGAGCTATTGGCCAACAAACTGTCTCTCTGCGGAAATTTCCCCTCAAAGGCACAGAACATTGGGGCACCAACGTAGAATACCAGACAGCCTGCAACAATCTTTGTTGAACGCATGGATACACTTTAAAGCTTCAGGCTGCCTTGTCAGCAGTAACTCTATCATTATCCACAGATAGTAGAAGACCTCCACATGACATCAGGATGGAGACCAGGGATGGTGGCTCCTCTATCAGTAGTGGCATGAAGAGGCCTGGAAACATGGCAAACATCAGTCCTGCTGTGAAGTTTACTGGGTACCAACCAGGCAAATAGGCTGTGAAAGGCAGGGAAGTGGGGGATGGGGTGGCGGAGGGTAGAGTGGCTGTCACAAACAACATAGCATCCCGCCTAGCCTGGGATCCCAGTCCCTCTCCACTTTGTTCAGTGGGGAGAGGAGAATGTGGAACTGAATATGAAAGGCCCAGCTGTGATTCATGCTGACAGCCTGCAATTTCTTGAGCCAGGGTGAGGATACGCCCCTGACAAGCATTGCCAGGGCTCTTCATCTGTGTTTCTGGAAGGTCTGTGTCCAGACACCAGGAGCAGGGGTCCTGGTTCCCTAGTCAGAATGCCAGGGAAAGTCTGGGTCAAGGCCAGTGGAGGGAGAAGGATGGCTGAGCTTGAGGTCTGTGAGCAGCTGGGATAGCCTGGCTATAGCAGAGGCACTGCAGCTGCCAGCAGTTCTCTTCAGACACCAGGTGGCCACTGACCAACAAAGGGAAGGACAAGTCCTCACAAGGTTCCCTCAGAGCCCCTTAATGCCAATCTCCAACTGTGCAGATGGAGCTAAGGAATGAGGAACAACAGTTCGCTGGGGGAGAGGCGGGCACACGCAGAGCACTGCCAGTGGGCTGGGAGGTCAGGCCTTCCCTCTGAGCTTGCTCACAGGCTTTTCCCCACCCACAGTGCCCCCGGCCAGGCATAGAGATCCTCAACAAGCTCCCCCAATTTGCTGCACACCCTTTATATCATGAACGTGCCTTGCAGCTCTCCTACACACATGGAGTTACTTCTGTTGTGACTTTGTTTGCACTGACTTGTCTGGAATGACCCTCCCTTTGGCCTCTTCCACCTTTTCACCTTTTTCCTCATCCCTTAAATTATAATCAACGACAATGAGGAGCCCTTCCCTGAAAAGCTCCTCCTGGCCCTGACCCCATCTGAGTGTGGTCTGCTTACTCGTTCCGTATTATCTTGGATGTTCTTGTATCACTGCATTTATATCTGTTTATTAAAGGCATCTGTTTATATGTTCATCTTCTCCATTGTACTGTGGGCTCCCAGAGAATGTTTCTTATTCACCCATGCAGCCTTAGACCTCAGTTCTGTGTCTGGTAAGGAACAAGTATCAGTAAATTTTTGTTAAATTGAAGAGCCCTCCCACAACCTCAACAGTCCAGGGCTGGCCAGGCATGGTGGCTCACTTTGGGAAGCCGAGGTGACCTCACTTGAGGTCAGGACTTCGTGACCAGCCTGGCCAACATGGTGAAACCCGTCTCTATTAAAAATTTAAAAACTAGCTGGGCGTAGTGGTGTGTACCTGTAATCCCAGCTACTCGGGAGGCTGAGGCAGGAGAATTGCTTGAACCTGGGAGGCATGGGTTGCAGTGAGCTGAGATCACGCCACTGCACTCCAGCCTGGGTGACAGAGCAAGACTTGGTCTCAAAAAAAAAAAAAAGAAAAAGAAAAAAAAGGTCCAGGGCTTTTGAAACTGACAGGAAATAAGTAACCTCTTACTGTCTTCCTGGGTGCATATGGTTTCAGCAGTCTTTCCACTAGTCTATCTTTCCACTGACAACTACAACCCTCTCATCCACTTACTACCTGCCTTCCCCTCCCCAAATTTCCATCTGCTAACAACTTAAGGCCAAAGCTACCCTGATTCGCAGGCAAAAATGAGCTCATCCAAACCTGAAATTTCCCTTAAGTCATTAGTTTTGTGACTGAAATGGGAAGTAGGAAGTAGTGTGGTATAGTACAGAGAGCTTCAGCTCGGGTTGGACAGACCTGGGTTCAAAATCCCATCCCATTACCAACTGAATGACCTTAGGCAAATTTCTTCATTCCTCTGAGCCTCGGTTTTCCCTGTATAACACATGGAGACTAATGTCTTCACAGGATTTGCTTTAGGTTAGGTAAACCCAGAAGCAGACCTAATTTGAATGCAAATAACTTTATTCGGGAAGTGATCCAGGACAGGGCCAGAATTAGGGCAATGCAAGTGATATGCCTAGAGTACAGAATGTAAAGAGACCCTCTCGGGTTCATACAGGTGCCAACCTTGCACTTAGATGAACCCAAGAAAAAAGGCTCATCACCCTAGTCCCAGTCCTGATCTGGAAAACACGGAAGAGGAGCTGGAAGCCAGGTAGGAAGAGAAAGCCAATGAAGTGTACAAAGTTGTTACTGGGAGATTAGAGAGGTTCACTCCCACAGGGAACCCTGAGAAATAGGTAGAATGTGCCTTAGAGTTGTCCCTCACTGAGAAAGGAAGCTGGGGTATTTATCCTCCCCCTTCCACTGGCTGAGAGCTGCCCCAGGGGCACTAATTCCCTGGCACTCCCAGCTTATGTCATTACAAACCAAGAGAAGTCCTCAGGCAGAGTTTCAGGTACTTACAACAGGACGCTGGGTATACAGCAGAATGGTGAATGCCTGGGGGAAATGGGCGAGGCACAACCTCTGCTGGGGCTACCATAAGGACTAAATGAAAAGCACAACTACAGTGCCTAACAAAGAGAAGTCCCCCTCTCTCTCTTCCAATTTATGGCAATAGCTTGTGAAGTTCATGGAGCTTCCCAGCTCTCCATGAGTTGGCAGCATCAGCAGAACAGCTGTTTCTCATCTTTCAGAAGTAAAAGAAATCCAGCAGCCCTAGGAAAGCTCTAGATGCCCAGGACCCAAGTTTTCTGTGGAAGCCTGATGGTTGATGAAGCCCAAGTAGTCCCTCCTGAGTACGCACTCCTCTGAAAACTATCTCCTCTTGCATCTGCGCCCCCGCCCCCATCCCTCCACCCCTTAGTGCAACATCATTTGTGACACATAGACTAGCATCACATTAATAACTGCTGCCACTAACTCATTCTTCTATGTGACGACATTGTGCTAAAACAAAGCTTTTATCGACATTATGGTAATCCTTAGAACCCTATGAGTATGATTTTTTCCCATTTGATGGACAAGGAAGCCAGGTCTCAGAGAGGTTAACTTTTATCAGAAGCAGGGTGCAGATGTAGGCTGATCTCACACATTTTCTACTTTGTCTCTTCACTCTTTCACTAATGCTCCTCTCACAGGACCACAGCATAGGGAGAATAAACTGGGGGCAAACAAGACGGTTGTAGGGAAGTGATGGGGGAAGCAGGTAGCTGTTCTTCCCTTGACTCCCCATTTAGCTAATAATTAAGCCTACAGTTCCTGGTCTGGCTGATCCATACCCTCCTGCTGCTGACTCATGTTTTAGGGAGACTGCTCAATTTTAAGCTAAATAATTCACTTTCCAGAAGTACCCTTTTCCTTTTCTTATCTTCAAGCGAACAGATACACACACTATCCCCTGTTTATAGAGTGCTACCTCCAATAAATTGCCATTTAATGAGAGAAAACAAGCGAGAGTTAAGCTTATGGGACGTAACTGATAAACTACTTTTCACTGGAAGAAAAACGGGAAGATAATCAATACTGGAGTCCAAACATGGCATTTTCTTCAGGAATGAAGAGTAGGGGCACTGTGGTTTCACTGCCATGGACAAAAAGTGGCTTATTTGTTCCCCTAAGCCTTTGTTTCCTCATCTGGAAATTGAGATGATAACGCCTACTCCACAGGGTTGCTATGAGGATTAAATGAAGGCCACATACGTTGCCTGGACCATAGTAGTTGCTCAAAAAATAATAGCTATTTCTTATGTGATGCTAGCCACTAGGTCAGTGCCATCCAACAGCAAGACATTATCTATGGAAGGAAAAGACAGTGAGATTGCCATCTTGCCTTCTTCTAACCCAAAAGCTTGTGCACAAAGGGACCTAGGCAGGAACAAGGCCTTAATGTTTGTGCTGTGTCTTCCATCCCAGCTACGTGTAAACTCCCCAGTCTAACACATACCTCATTTTCATGTTAAAAGAAAACTTTGGACAAAATCAGAAGTTAGGAGAGTCTTCAATGTGCCTGTTTATCCTGTCCCAAGATCCTTTCCTGGTCAACAGCCACCTCCCCCAGTTTTTCATTACATCTTCAAATCAGTTTCGGCCAAAGCTAGCATTCTTCACATCCTTG